AAACCACAGGACAACAGTTAAGACAATATCAGGACGAATAGTTCACAAATCCCTAATAAAAACTTAATTAGTTTTCAGATAAAATGGACCACTACAAACTCTTCATTCTCCTTATTACGATCTCTACTTCTTCATCGGACATACAAATTCTTGACTATAGTAAATCTCAATTAGTAACAATAGACAATGGACAAGCGAAAATACAGGACGGAACATTCAGACTTATTCATCTCATCGACCTAGGAAAATACGAACAATTTCTGACGGAAACCTACGACGAAATAACTGGCCAAATCCCTAAAGACAACCTTCTATATCCCGTCCTAAAACATGAAACAATCCAAACGTTCGAAATCCTTAATACCCTAAAACCTATTAATGACATTAGAAGAAAAAGATCAATTGATATATTAGGAACGGCATGGAAATTTATAGCCGGATCTCCTGATCACGAAGACTTAAATATAATAACTAATAATTTGAATAATTTAAATGAAAACAATAACAACCAAGTAGTAATAAACAATGTATTTGAAAAACGTATAAATAATATAACTGGTATAGTAAATAAGATGTTGAACACCATCAGAAAAGATGGTAGTATTGTAATGGAAACTATAGTAAATTTGCAAAACAAAATTAGATTAATAAAAGAAGAACTAATTAATATAGAATACGCCATTCAATGGGCAAAGAATGATATAATTAACTCTGTATTATTAAGTAAGGAAGAAATCGAATTTTCAATTAGCAAACTAAAAAAGGAAAAAGTTCCATTTACAAGTGCCGAAGATGCACTAAGATTAGCAAAAATAAACGTTTTGAGTAAAGATATGAAAATCATTTATATTATTAAAATACCCCTAACATTAAGTGAAACATTCAAAAGAATAATTGTAAGACCCGTTAAGAAAATGAACAATATTATAATTGAAACAAAATACAAAGAAATTCTAAAAGGAAAAGATAAATTATATGGTATCAAAAATAAATGTGAAACTTACAATGATTTAATGATTTGCAAAGAAGCAGATGTCATAGATATTAGTAATGATTTATGTATATCTAGAATAATAAATAGCTTAAATTCTACGTGTAATACCACCAATGACCACCACATACCAACAATAGAAAAAATAAATAAAGGCGTAATTCTACTCAATAAATTCAGCGGTAAAATAGAAGCCGATAAAATGGCACAGGAGATAAACGGGACCCATGTTGTAATATTTTACAACACAACCATTAGAATCAACAATAAAGTATATAGTAATATAGAAGTAATGCCAATTAAATCTATCCCAGCAATATTGCAGCCAACTCCATTAGAGAAGGACCATATCGAGATACTTTCGCTCGAGTCTCTAAAGGACTTACATATAAACAACACACATAAAATAAATTCTCTCAAAAAGGCAACACTATCCATCGGAGGCTTAATATCCATAACATCCGTGATAACAATCGCACTTTTCATTTTGCTAAAGAAAAGATCAATAAAGATACAATACATCGAGAAGGAAGTATTGAAGCCCAAAACAGGTAGCCCGCCACAAGAAAGTAATGACATTCCAACATACGTAAAATTCAACGACTTACCCTTCTATTAATGATTGAGGACAATCATACTTAAGAGGGGAGGAGTTAACACCACACCTTACAATACCTCGAATTGGACAATAACCCCATGGGTTAGTGGCACCGATAACACATCCGGTGAATTCGTTATAACCGCAGACGCTGCATCAGCATTCCACGAACATTTCATCAAATTACTAAATGTATCGATCAGCAACAATATTACGGTAAACAACAGTCAGCATATTGGTAACCAACATTACGGTCAACAACAGTCAGCAAATTGGTGGTCGACATAGGTGTAATGTAGAAGTAAGAAATATATTGTAATTAATCTTAAGTTGGATTCAAATAAATAAACACATGAGCGGACAAAAGTCCGCGAGCTTTTTAAAAAAATGAAGTTTATTAAATAAAACTTTAACTCATATATACATATGTAGGTACTCGTACCCGTCATGCGTGGCTTTATTTCTTTTTTCCCCTTCCCTATACTACCTATATATTCCTTATCACATTTTCAGTTTTAAAAATTTCGCTCTCCATTTTTGCGATACCGCCGCCTAAGAAGTTTCACTTCAAAAAACTTGTATAATGTTCGGGAATGTAATTTCTGTGGTTAATGCTGTAGTGTGAACAATATATAAGAAATTAACTAATTAAAAGTTATTGTTAAACACCGCGCAGTGTAGATATTAAACTTTTTCGTGAAAAAATGTAATATCTCGAGAAGGAAAACAGGAAATATATTTCATATTTAACAGCAAATAATAAACATACATGCCTATGTCTATATGTAAGATCTTCTCCAATGTGTCCTCTACAAAATTTTTTCTGAAAGTATTAGTGAATAGCCATGACAGTAAACTACAGTACAAACATTTACTCGTACAGTGAATTTGGTTTCAGTTATTTAATACTAACTTATAACAGTTTGCCTGCCAAACACAGCTCCATCTATTTGGAAAAATAATCAAAAATAATCATAGAATTCGAAATAATCTAATAGTTGAAGATAATCAAACCAAATCAAAATTAAAAACAATCAAATGATTAAAAACAATCAAATAATTGAAAATAATCAAACAATTAAAAATAATCACATAATTAAAAAAATATTTAATTAATTGTGATTATTTGGTAATTTATAATTATTTGATTGTTTTGATTATTTTTGATTATTTTTTTAATTACCATCAATCATGATTGTTTTGATAATTTTTAACTATTAACCGGCGACCAGTAAAGATGGCATCCATATAACTACCGACGGACATGGAGGTGCCAACAACATGTGTTAGCAAACTAGTCGAAGGAGGAACTAATCTTGGGAGGTGATGCGAATGCTCACCAATACACCTAAGGCAGCAGCGCCGATAAGGAGCGGGGTGAGTCACTTTTTGATTTCATACTTAGCTTTAAGCTTATTATTGCAAATAGGGGAAATGCCCCACTTTTATTACAAAAAAGGGAGGTTCTGGACGTTGTCCTTAATTTTGAAAATGTGGAGTGACTGGTCGGGAGGTGAAGGGTGCTTGAGGACCACTCCTTTTCTGACCACCGCTATATCAAATTCGAGGTAGTAGGAGTGCTTTCCAAAATTCTTCAAACTAGAAATTTGCGCAATGCCAACTGGTATGAGTATCGGAAAGAGTTCGAAAAGCTCTTGCCACAATACAGCGAACCAGTCACTCCAACAAACCTAGTGGAGCTGGAGTATCTGGTCGACCGTTTCATGGGAGCCTGTACTAAAGCTACAGACACAGCGTGCCCCAAAAAGAAGCACTGTGGTAGAAAAAAGCGCCCTGGTGGAATGAAGTAATCAGAGAAGCACGCAGAAACGGCACGAAAACCTTAAATCAGGGAACTGTATCTGGTATTCAGGAACATTGGCAGATCTACAAGCAAACGCTACCCCAGGATGCTTGCAAAGACCTGATGCTTCACGGAATGAAACCGAGCAGCAATTACTGGATCTGCTTCTAAGCACGCACTTCCCGGTGGCAACGGACGGTAGACCAGAGCAGCTAATTGTAATTGGAAACTGTTCAGTCACTGGAGATTCACTTGGGAAAGTGTAATCTGGTCTTTAGGGGCGTTCTAGCTTTATAAATAACCAGGTCCAATTGGCGTCGCCCCATACAGCTGAAAAAAAAAACATTACGGCAAAGCTCAGCGTGGCTACATGCAGTTATTAAGATAGTGTCAGCTCTTAATCATATCCCTAAGAGGAGAGGTAATTGAGAGTGGTCCCCAAGGTGGGGAAGGTGTCCCAAAATAACACAAAAGATTTCCACTGAAGGTTATGGAGGGACTGGTGGTGCTCCATATCAGATAGTCGGTTGGTGACGGACTCTCAACTACACAGTATGCTTATATGAAAGGTAGATCTACAGAAACGGCGCTACATGAAATAGTATCACACATAGAAGGATCACTAGACATCCAACAATATGCGCTTGCAGCCTTCCTAGATATCGTAGGCGCCTTCAACAACATAATAGCTGATGCGATAACCGCAGCGCTGACGAGCCTGTGCATGGCTCGCGCTTGTAAAGCAAGTGCTGCGATGCAGGGTGAACAGTTGTGTGGGATTTGGCATCCCTGGGGAGTCCTATCCTCTATTTTATGGGTCGCAGCGGTAAACACACCGCTGTCTGTCACGGAAGCAGATGGATGTAAGGCTATCGAGTATGCGAATGATCTTGCACTAGCTGTAAGCGGTAAATTTCCACAGACACTATGTGACATTATGCAGATAAAATTGAAAGTAGTAGAGAGTTGGACTAATAATAACGGGTTAGGTGTAAACTCAACAAAACCGAACTTGTATTTAAAACTACTTCCGACCCACCGAGAGTCACTACAGTATATTTTGCTTTGCTGTCTTTATGCTTAAGATATCTACTCTAAAATGCGCATTAGCGGCATTATTTTTAACATTTATAATGAAACTCCTCCGATAGATGCATTCAACATACCTGCACATTGGCGATACCTGCCTTAAAAATTGTGCAACTATTATTAACTATCAAAGAAAGTATTACGTTTACCTGCACTGGCCCTACAATTACCTAATTTTACAAGCTTTTATTTATTGTGCTCATCTCGCAGAACAACGAAAATGCCTATCAATTAATGTAGTTATATAGATAATTAGATACCATTCGGTAAAAATTTCGCTTGCAGTAATTTCTACGTGGTAAGTGCTCCTCCATTATTTGGTTTCATAGGGATTCGGATACCTTCCTCATTGAAGTAGTAAAGAAAATTCGCTTAAGTGCTTTTTCGGTTAAGTGCACAAGTTTTTCGTGCAAAGAAGGATGGGCAGCTAGCAAAATATACTGTAGCTCACTAAAGCTACTTGTCTGCCACAGCGTGTGTATGTATTAAAATTATTTTTTTTTCAAAATTATACTCACAAGTTCTCTACTCGCATTAGTATAGACGGAGTGGACTATGAACATTCTTCCCTCGAAGTTTAACTTTCGAATTTCGTTCCAACGATAGAGTTGTGAGCGCTTGCCTGAAATAAAAGCGCTAATACCCATATAATTTACTCCGATATATAGTTGGTTGCCATGATGGTCTTTAACATAATGTGGTTCGATGCCGTATGCCTCCAGATTGCGTGCTATTTCTAGGAACTCATCTATAACAGCACTTGGCTCTTGTCCTGGTTTTCTTCCTTTGTATTTATTCATAATTTTTTTTTCGATTGCATCGGTCTGTCGAATAGACACTCGAAAGGTTGAAACGTAATTGGCAGAGTGCAATTTCCCATCGTAGTCTCCTAATTCCTCTGTAATTTTTTTTTTTAGATTTATGTAATCAAATTTCTCAAATTGTACCTTGCACTATCAAAGCTCCCAAAGTAATAAACTCATCATTTGAACAATAAAGTCGCCCATGATTTAAGTCACGTTTTAGTTGTTTGAATAGCAAAATCCTGGCATTAGTGCTTAAATGAAATGGATCCGCCGGATAATATTTTACACGGAAGGAGAATATCAAAGGGTTGACATCTGAAATCAGTTTTTGAATATTTTTTAAAGTAATTATGGAATTTATTCAAATTAACCTTTACACTGTTTAGTTATAAGCTTTTCCAAATCCAACCATTGCTGTAAAATGTATTTGTTTAAAAGTGAAGTTCTAGGTAATCTAGTTTGCATACCCTTTGTGTGCCACTATCCACATAACGCATTCCAAAGTAGTATTTTTCCCTTATCTTTAACTGGTGACATAACTGGTCTATAATATAATTTCCTTTGTGAGTTTCCTTAAAATAAGATAAACAAATATTTTGTTATACAATAAATTATAAATAAATAAATTACCCCATTGGGGTGCGAGTGCTACTTTTGCTAAAAATTTTGCATCATGTGTAATGCATTGTTATAAATACATATTATTTGTTTTTGTTAATTATGGCCTTATAACAATTACATTCAACAATTTTATTTAGCTTGAGGCCATTTTTAATGAAAACTATTGTGGAAAAACAACAATAATTTATAAATTGTAGAAGCTACAGCTGCTATTTCGGAGATCACTACATCAGACTTCTTCGTGGGATTCGTCGAACGGCCTCAGCTGACTCAGCCAGTGGCCTAAACATTGCGCTAAGTTCGCCTTATAATCTGTTGTTGCTTTTTCCATTTTTTCATGTGAGCCTACTGTAATCAAGCGCAGCTATTCCGCCGCTATTAACACTTCATCATGCGGTTGTTGGTTTTTGTTAATAATTCTATTTTTAGAATGTTTAATTTTTAGGTGAGTTCGTCTTTAAGTTATTTGTTTTTGTTATTTATGACCTTATAACAATTTTACTGAGCATGAGCCTTTTATTTTAATGAAAACTATTGTGGAAAACCAACAATAATTTATAAGTTGTAGAAGTTATAGCTGCTATTTCGGAGATCACCACATCTCCTCATCAGACTTCTTCAGTGGGATTCAATCCAACGACCCTAGCAAACTCAGCCAGTGGCCTACGCACTGTGCCAAGTTCGCCTTATAAACTGTTGTTGCTTCTTCCACTTTATCATGAGGATCTATGAAAACAGGGAGGTAATGTGGTGTGGTGGTAATGGGGTCAACCCTTATGCAGTAAGGGGTCCGAGCCAGATCCAGTGCAAAGTAAGGGAGGGCACATCAACCGTTAACTTCAACTACAAACTTAACGGCGACGAGATCAGAACTAACTTCGAGGCCTGCCAGGGTTTTAGCGGGACAGAAGCCGTCACGGCGTTTGCCCGAAAGCCATTTCTGTAGGGTGTCACCACTATATACTCAGGTAACAGAATACCGCAACCACCAGCTCAAAGCCAACAAATCAAAACTATTGTGGAACTGGGGTAGCCCGTTGACGAATGCAGGGTCAAGCCAGGGGAGATGTTTCACCTTCCCTTATCTGCTCCTCAACAGGTTGACGTTAATTGATAGTGAGAGGTGAAAAGGCATCACATCCGAAGATCAGCCTTCGCGTTGCACTTCATTACCCCTTAGGCACCAATAGTTCCATCCTTCAATAAAAAAAAACGTTTTCAGTGATAAATATGTACTAATATCCATTTCTTAAATAAACACTATATACCCTTTTGTGTATTGTTGTTTTTTAAAGATTATTTTAATTAATTATTCCCAACTATTTTACCCTCCTTTCCCGTCCAACCGGCGCGAGGGACTATACCTCTTTTGTGGTAGATCTACCACTTTTTTTGCTAAATTGCGTTTCTACCACATCTACCGCCGTAAGCTTAAAATCTACCACATTTTACAATGTTGCTCATTTTACAATGTGGATGATTTTGCCATCCTTAGTTTTCTGTTGATTTTGTGTAATGTCGTGAATTAGTGTAGAGAGTGAATAACTGATTCCTGTTTCTTTTTAACACGTGCCAAATTTTCTAGGTGCTAGGATCAGTCAATTGGTGTAATTCAGCTGCGAAATCAATAGATTTAGACGGGAGTGCACATAAAAGTTATAAAAGTCCTTAGAAAAAATTTTTCTTTGGACCTTTATTTTATTTGAAATAAAATAATCAGTCAACCCGGACTTTTATTTGTTAAGTCCAGCAATAAAAGTTAAATTTGGCCAAATATTTTTTAAGTCCGGATAAAAAGTCCTTTCGTAATAATAATAATAATCCATTCTCGCCCATACGCATGAGGGGCGCAGTCCGCATGACGTACGGAACCAGTATTTATTTTAAATTTTTGCGCTGAGTCACGATAGGCAGGAGTTTGTTAAGTGTCGAGATCTAATGATCTTTATTTTAATGATTCATTTATTGAGAGAGGACAGTATCGATTTCTTAATGCTGAAAAGCGGATCTGATATATCAAACGTACTGGAATGAGAGTTAAAATCCTGGCATAAGCAACGGAGTGGGTCGTGCAATTCAAAATTAGTTTTAAAAGCTCTCAGAAATAGGGGGCAAAAGTGTCTTGATACCCGGGATGGAACATTAAGGTTAACTTCGCCAAGAAGAAGCGGACTTGAAATTGAGCCTGTCAGTAATTTAACTATAAATATTGTACCAAGCATTTGCCTGCAGCTGGAAAGTGTAGGAAGATTAATAAGTTTTAATCAGCTCGTATAAGGTGGAAGGTTATATTGAGAATTCCATCGGAAATTTCTTAAAGCAAAAAGTAGGAATTGTTTTTGAATTGATTCTATATTGTATGAGTAAATTTCATACCTTGGATTCCAAACCACCGAACCGTATTCCAGAATTAGCCGAACTAATGTTGTAAACAGGGTTTTAGTGATATAAGGGTCACAAAATTCATTTGACCATCGTTTCACAAATGCAAGTACATCTTTAGCCTTGTTGACTGTAAGGTCCACAAAATTGTATACCTGTTCCAGGTTATGGTTACCTATTGTATAAGAAGCAGGATGAACAGCTCTTCGCGAGAGGCACATTACTTTACATTTCTTAAGATATAGAGGCATAAGATTTACTTGACACCAGTAAGCCATGCTGTTTAAATCTGATTGTAGCAAAGACCTTTCTTTAATTGAAACGTACGATTTATAAACCTTTACATCATCTGCAGACATTAAAAATTTGGTAAATTGTATATCTGTAGAAATATCGTTTATAAAAAGCAAGAACAGAACCGGGCCTAGGTGGCTACCTTGAGGGACTCCTGAAGTAACATCAATGACGTCAGAGATAGTATTTTTAAACATTACCCTTTGTGATCTATCATAGAGGTATGAAGAGATCCAACGTAGAAAATTAGGTGGAAGACCAAGAAGATCAAGTTTGTAGATGAGCAACGAGTGGCACACTTTGTCAAATGCTTTACTGAA